GCGGGGCTCGACGGCTAAGCTCGGCTCGCTCGAGGGTGTTCGCTGGCTGCACGAGAAGGCTCGCAAACAGAACACGGTGGCCGAAAGCTTACGAACAGCAGGGCTCGGACGGCGGCCAGGGGTGATGATCACGATACGGGTACACGACAGGATGGTTGAGCCTAGCGACGACCGAGAAGGTGGTGCTCGACGATGTGCAATGGGACTCACGCCGGGAACAGTTGGACTCTTTACGTGCGAGAGGATGCTGACGACGAGGCGAGGGGTCTGCAAATTTATGCCGGCAGCAACGTAGAAGCAGATGGTGGTGATGGTGACGGGGCTTTGCTGTTGTCTCGCGCTGGAGTACAGTGGCGTGATGGTGATGGCACAAGATGATGGACAGCGAGAGAGAGCAAGAAAGATTATTCTTTCTGCTAGGGGAACGACACGATAGAGAGATAGACGAGATGAGGAGATGAGCGATTTAAAAAAAAAAGTTGTTGTGGTTTAGTATCGTGAGGAAGGGAAAAAATCTCTCTTTTATAAGGGCTAGCTTAGGGTTAGATAACTTTCCAATCAAGAAATTCATACACAAGAGAAAAAGAGGAAAAACGGGCCGGGTACGGGCTAGGCACGCGGGTTTCAGGCTTAGGCGCGGTTACTCGGTTCGATACTTACGATATATTCGGGCTCGATCAATAATTAAAATAAAATTGGGATATTTATATATATATATATATATATAATAAACATAATAATATTCAATTAGACAATTAATTGCAATTAGGCATTTAGCATTTACAATAACAGTAATAATAATAAGAATATCAAATTGGCAAATAATTAATAATAATAATATAGATAATAAATAATAATCCCAGATAATCCATATATAATCACATAAATTCGCATATTCGAATGGGGCGCTACATAGTATTTTGTAAAGCAAATGTGTACCATGCCCAATTGTTATTGGAGATCCTTGGCAAGTATCAAAAATTCTCTGGCCAAAAGGTAAATCTGAATAAGTCTTCCATGTTCATAAGTTCCAATTGCGGTAGCTCCCCCAGATCTCAAATTTGCTCAGTGCTTAGAGGAGTGGTAATTAAAAGATCCTCCAAGTATCTTGGTTTACCTCTGGGTAGTGGAGCCTCTAAAAGGGAGTCTTTTTCAGTATGTTCTTACTGCAGTGAAAGACATGAATATTGATAGCTGGAAGAATATGTTATTATCTACTGCTGGAAGAGAAGTTTTAGTGAAGTCTGTGTTGAATGCCCTTCATGTTTTTATCATGTCTTGCTTTGTTCTCCCTGTGGGGTTGTGTAAAGACATCTGCAGAATGGTAATTAAGTTTTGGTGGGCAAAGGGGGATGTCCAGAATCCAGGGCTGCACTGGTTGGCATGGGAGAAGCTTGCTACCCCAAAGCTAGAAGGTGGGTTGGGATTCCAAGATATCAGACTTTTCAACTCTACTCTCATCCTTAAGCAACTGTGAAGAATCATTGCTTATCCTGAGCTACTGGTCAGTAGAGTTCTGAAGAGTAAGTACTTCCCAAAGCATTCTATTTTTGAAGTTGTTAAATCTAATGGTGCTTCTTGGCTTTGGAATTCTTGGGTGTCCTTTATCCCAATGCTGAATAAGAATTTGAACATCATTATCAAAAATGGAAGCAACACTAGGCTCAGTGACTTTAATTGGGTGTCTGGGACTCAAGGAGGCAAACCAATCCTTAAAGTGCAAATTGATGGGCATGTATTTTGGGTGAAAAACTTGATGACTGCTGGTGGTTGTAGTTGGGATGAAACAATTGTGAAAGTGCCTTTTGAGGATGCAGATGCCCAGAAAATCGTTCAGATTAAATCTCTCAATCCCAGAACAAATGATCAATGGAAGTGTCTTTTTCTGTCTAAAGGTTCATTCTCTGTTAGGAATGCTTATGCCTTGTTGATGAAAGGGAAGATCTGCAATAAGAATCAAGCTAAATCAAGTAAGATGGCAGGAAGAAACAGAGGTGCTAGAATGAGATGTTGGCAGCTCCAAGTTATGGGTAAGATTAAACATTTTGTTTGGAGATGCATCTCCAATATACTGACTGTCAACTGCAACTTAGCTAGAAGGGGTATGGAGATTGATAAGTTATGCCATGTCTGTGGTAAGTGTGAAAAAACCCAAGAACATACTCTTTTCCTTTGCAAGAGAGCTCAGACCACCTGGAAGCTAGCACCAGTCCAAATGGAACAGAGTTTTAGAGGAGCACTTGAGCTTGAAAGAATGGTGGTGGTGGAATAGTTCCATGAAGAAGCAGGGCATCTATGAAGAACAGATCCAACTCTCCACCTATATATTGTGGTGGCTGTGGCGTGTAAGGAACCTATGGGTATTCAAGAGGCAATAGCATACTGAGGAATGGATAGTGAAGTCTGCTATGCAGGACTGGCTCGACTTTTCCCTTAGCAAATCAAGGAGATAGCTGATGCAGCAGAGTGGGCTCTAGGTCTCGAGTTAGTGGTGTCCTTCTCTTTCTGCAGTGTTATGTTCTCTTTATGATTCATTTTGTTTTGGGTTTGCTAGAGTTTAGTCTCGGTTATTATAGTGTTGATTAGGCACTACTTGATGTATTTGTCCTCCCATTGTCTGCGGATACGAGGATTCCCTGTGTACATTCTGTTTATTTTGGTTTTATAAGAGTGATTATGCCGTTTGAAAAAAAAAAACACAAACTATATATATGTATATAAAAAACAGATATAAAAACAATATGTTTTATATATTTTTAGAAATTACAGATTTGGCCTAATTTACTAAATTGAAGTATAACAAAAATTTCACAAATTACAACTAAGTCCTCCATTCCTTTCTAATTCTCAAAATCAAGCCACAAAATTGAATTTGGTGAAACACTTCTTTCATGACTGCCCGCGGATGTCTGGAACGAGACATCGTCGGCGATCGACGATGGAACAAGCAACGGTGGTGGTCAAATGGCGGAATGGGGGCAACGACGGGGGCGGCGAACAAATTTCGCGAAGGAGAAAACGAAGATAGTTGGTCGTCTGCGACTTCTCAGGAGATGCAGACGCCTTTACTTGAGGCCGCCGGAGACGCAGAAGTCGCCGCTCGAGGCGCCTGCTTGCGATGGTCAACAGTGACGTTGTACCTCTTGAGCACGTCGTCCTAGCCGGAGCACGTCATCGTAGCTGGCGCACAGGAATATGGTGGGGCTGACGAGTTTCCGGTGTGATATCGACGAAGACTTGACGGCGGCGGCATACGAATGGTTGGACTACCATCACGTTAGCTGCGGCACCGCCTGAGGTGGCGTACAGAAGCTGGACGTTTTATGGTGTGTGTGTGTCGTGTGTAAATGTGTGTGTGTGAGAGAGAGAGAGTGAGAGAAAGAGAGAGAGAGAGTGACGGGGAGAGAGAGTAATGAGGGTGAGAGACATAGGTGGGGTGGTTGGGTGACTAGTGAGTGGGGGTTGGTGGCAGACATATTTAATGTGTAGTGTGGGCCACTTGTTTGATTGTATTATTAAAATTACTGTAATGTCCTTAATGAAGGTATATTTTTAATAATTTTATAAGCCGTTGGATCATGCGATTTAATGGTTACGATGTATTCTTATTTCTTTCACTTAGCACTATTCTCACCGGAGAACGGTCATATATATATATATATATATATATATATATTTGTCTAGTACTTTTCTTACAAAAAAGTTGGTTATTATAAAATATCGCAACTAACTTGTAAGACACAATAATAACAATGTATGTTTTTTAGCACTTACAAAAAATAATAATAATAATAATAATAATAATAATAATAATAATAATAATAAGTAAATAAATAAAAAAAATATTGCATTCAATCAATAGATTACTTTGTACAATTTGTATACATAACAACAATTACAAATTCAGTTTGACTAATAAAAGTAACATAACTTGATAATATTAATATAAATCTACATTACTAGACTGAAAATTTTGATAGTTTTTTTAATATATATATATATATATATATATATATATATATATATATAAATCTACATTACTAGACTGAAAATTTTGATAGATTTTTTTAATATATATATATAACTTCATCAAATTAATAATGAAATCCCTACAAATAAAAGAAAAAGAAAAAGCAAAATAATGAATAGGGTTGTTTGTACTATTCAAGATGGTTAAACTTGAGTATGAATACAAATATAAAATTATTTTTCAACAGAAGAGATATATAGTAGTAATATTATAAGGTTACACCAAAATATAATATTATTTATTATTTACCAAAATAACAGATCACATAATTAAGTTTATTTTTAAAACATAACCATTTCAGTTTTTATGAATATTAAAATATTTATCTTAAATTTAACTATACCTGAAATTTTATTATGGATTTATCATAGGCTGCGCTCGGAGCTCTTAGCTATTTTACAAAGGCCTCCAAGGCCAGAGTTCTGCCAGATTGATTTGACTTAAGACTCCGAGCTACAAACTCGTAGTTCTACCTCAACCTATTCCCTGGGGTCTTTGAGCTCGTCAGCCCGAAGTTCTACCCTTATGCTTAGCACGGTTCATCCCTCTTAAGAGATTTTGCTGAAATTCTCACACAGGTAATGACTTTATTGCGCAAATATCTTAATATTCTGTATAACAAAATTAAATGTAGTCAAATACATAATCTTTGGCTAACCTCTAAACTTACCAGCTTGGAGTTTTGTCCTTACCTAATTTGCATCAAACTTGGTGAGAGCTAACACAAAGCATGTATTTCATGTGTAAATGAAAAGCTTAACAGTCTTAGGCATAGTACTTCATGAGGTATCCAACGTTCTATTGTCTACGAAAGACCTCCCCTTGCTGATCCCTCATCTCGTAAGCTCTACCTATGAAAACACGTTCAATTATGTAAAGACCTTCCTAGTTAGGCTGTAACTTTTCCATGTGTTTTCACACCAGATCATCGACCAAAAACTTGCAGACCTGTGGCTTTTTA